TTTTTTTTTTTTTTTTTTTTTTTTTTTTTGTCTTTTTATTACTGGGTTTGCCTCCCTCCCAAACTGACAGGAGTTTTTTTGATTGCAAAATTTCTTCACATATTTTAAATATGAAATGCTATAAGATATGATCTACAAATATTTTCTCAGTTTGTAAGTTGTCTTTTCATTTTATCGTTGGTGTCTTTTATAACATAAATTTTGGGGCTGAGGATATAGCTTAGTGGTAGAACACTTACCTAGCAGAAGCAAGACCCTGGGTTCAATCCCAGTTCTGAAAAAAAAAATTAAGTTTAATAAAGATTATTTCTGCCTATCTCATTTTTGGTGTCATATCTAACTTTGTGCCACAAAAATTTACTACCATATTTTCTTGGAAGTGTTTTCTTATATTTAGCTCTATAATTCAATTTAATTTTTTTTTTTTTTTGGTCAGTAAATTCACTCTTTTATCTGTGGATACTTCATTGTTCCAGCACTATTTATTGAACTGAACTTTGTTGTTTTGTTTTTCTTTGGTGCCAGGAATCAAACCCAGGACCTAGTGCTTAGCACATTCCAAGTACTCTCCCTACCACTGATGTACAAGCCCAGCCTAAGTACCACTTACTAAAAAGAGTATTCTTCTCACATGAAATTGCATTTGAATACTTGTCAAAAATAACTGACCATTGAGTGCTGTGGCACACACAGGATTACATGCCTGTAATCCCCGTGGCTTGGGAGGCTGAAGCAGGATGATCACCTCAGCAAAATCGAGGTGCTAAACAACTCAGTGAGACCCTGTCTCTAAATAAAATACAAAAAATAGGGCTGGGGATGTGGCTTAGTGGTTGAGTGCTCCTTAGTTCAATAGCCAGTACACAACCCCCACCCCTACCCCCCACCAATCAATTGACCAAGAGTGTAAGGGTTTCTGTTTTCTCAATTCTGTTCCATTGATATATATGCCTATCTTCACACTAATACCACAACGTCTTGATTATTGTAGCTTTGTAGTAAGATTTGAGTTTGGGAAATGTTTAGTCTTTCGGTCTTTTTCAAGAGACTTTTCTATTCTGTCTTTCTATTCTGTTTTTTAAATAGATACATTTTAGCTTTGTTCAGCCTTATCAAAATTTGCAAAATAAAAAAGCCATTGCAAATTTTTTTCTTTTTGATTTTTCCTATGTATATGCATGTGTGTGTGTGATGCTACTGGGAATCAAACTCAGGGCTTCATGCATGGTATGTAAGCCCTCCAGCTAGTTTTAATTTTGACAATTACAGCATGAATCTGTAGACCACTTTGGAAGGTGTGGCCATTTTAACAATATAAAGTTTTCTATTCATGAACATGAACTTTTTTAGTTGTAGATGGACATAATACCTTTATAAAGTGATACTTTGTGAATTTAGATGTACAAATTTTGCACTTTTAAGCTTTTTTCCAGGTATGTTGTTGTTGTTGTTGCTATTGTAAATGGACTTATTTTCTTAGTTTTTCTTGTTGTAGTGTATAGAAATGCAATTGACCTATATTGTGTTAACTTACTGAAAGGATTTATTATAGTAGTATTTTAGTAAATTTCTTTCGATTTCCTATATGCAAGTTCATATTTGTCTCTTGTTATTTCTATTCTATAAATTACTCATTTTTGCTGACCAGTAATTCACCAAAAAAAAAAAAAAACTTGGAGTCTAGGATTTAAGTTGCTGAAAAATTTTTGATCCCTATCAGGTAGATATATTGCATACTTGATTTTCTTTATGATTCCTTATATACAGCAGCTAATCTTTATTGTGAAAAATAAGTGTAGGAATTCAAGTTGTATTTAAGCTTCATCAGTATGTGCTACTTTAGAAGCTAAGTAATTGTCCTTTATAAGCTTAAGTCTCTGGTTATATAAGTTTTATCTTTTGTTTTTAATCTTGAGTGTATTCTGAGGGTACTAAGCTTATAGATCTGTAGGCAAAGGTAGCAGAATAATAGAATAAGCCAGGACAGTGCCATAAAAATTAATGAATTAGAGCCAGGCATGGGGGCATATACCTGTAATCCCAGTGACTTGGGAGGCTGAGGTAGGAAGATCACAAGTCCAAAGCCAGTCTCAGCAACTTAGCAAGGCCCTAAGTAACTCAGCAAGACACTGTATCTAAATAAAATATAAAGAAGGGCTGGGGATGTGGCTCAGTGGTTAAGCACCCCTGGGTTCAATCCCCAATACCAGAAGAAAAAAAAGAAAAGAAAAATAAATTAATTAGTATGCTGAGAAAATGACCAGATTTTCATATCTTACATGGAAAAGTCTGTGTAACTAGTAATGAAATACGTGTAAGATAAGATCTTTGAATGGTAGTGGTTGTATAGAAGAATAATGTTGAAGTTGAGAAATCTGGGTGGTTCTTCTAGTTTGGCAAAGAGCTAATTGGTTGTGTTCAGTTAGGAAAGTATTTAACTTTTTTTCTTTTTCCCTGGCGCTCGGTATTGAACCAAGAAACTTAACCATGTTAGGCAAGTGCTCTAACACTGAACCATGACTTCATTTCTATTTCTACCTCTGTAAAAATGGGAGGAGGTGTGGCTGATGATTGCCAATCCTATGCCAACCCAAAATTCAACATTCCCTCTGTCTCAATCCTCTTGGGTATACATTCGTTAACTTCGAATCTCTAACAGTAATTATCAACCTTGGTTTCCTTAGGGATTGCTTGAACTGTTTTACATTAATGCCTTGTTTTGCTTTTCTTCAGTTTATAATTCTTTTTTTTTTTTTTAAAGAGAGAGTGAGAGAGGAGGGAGAGAGAGAGAATTTTTTTTTTAATATTTATTTTTTAGTTCTCGGCGGACACAACATCTTTGTTGGTATGTGGTGCTGAGGATCGAACCCGGGCCGCACGCATGCCAGGCGAGCGCGCTACCGCTGAGCCACATCTCCAGCCCTTCAGTTTATAATTCTTAATTTGGTTGGGCAGGCTCTTAGGAATAAAAATAAAAATCTCCTTAATTCTAATTTACAAATAAAATTGAGGGCCACTGCCTGAGAGAACAGTTTTGATGTCAGGTAACATTTTTGAGTTTCCATTATTTTACAAATGATGAAATAGACATAGTAATGAGTAGGAAGAGGGAGATGGCATGGTATTTTATGGAGTAATTTGATAGGTTAAATCATTGTATCTGAAGAACAATTCTGTGAAACTATAATGATGGTAACCATTCCCAGTTAGCAGACAGGAAAGTTGAATTTAGAAAAGTTGAGCTGCTCTAGGTTACTGTGCTTATATGAGGAGTGTTGGTTTAGAGACACATTCATATTAACTCATCTGTTCAAATTATGTAAGATAGATACTCAAAAAGATTTTTAGTGTCTCCCATTTTGTGTTTGTCTTTGAAATGGGATAATACCTAGTTAGGAAGAGGAATAGGAGATAATAATCTAAAGTTGGGAGTCTGTATTATTCTTTAAGCCTATGACTTGTAGGCGAAAAAGGTCCCTATGTGTATTTTAAATTACAGTTATCTGGCCACCAGTTGTGATAGAAAGCAGATAGAGTAGGGGGCAGTGTAAAGTTAATTGTGAGAGTAGCATAGTGATTGCTGGGGTTGCCACATTAAGTTAGGTGTTCACTTGGCTTGTGTTCCTTAGAGGTAACTGCTTCAGGTAATACCAGGAGGATCCATTAATCAATATTCTCTTATTAATAGTGACTATTTTAGTTTGTTATGTATCCCTTCCAACTCCTCCCAACTCTCATTTTTAAAAATCCTGTTGAAATAAATAACTAATAGATGCTATCCTCCTTTGCTTTGCTGTATTATTGTTTTGCTGCATATTTGCTTGTGTATATATAGGTAGAACAGTCTATTCTTTGGAGCAATTATTTTGGATACTTTTCTCTGGTTATGGTTCCTTTTAGTCCTTTGTAGTCATGCCTTAGTATTCCTGATAACTAGCCAGTTAATCATCAGTGAGCTGGGCTTTGGAAGTGGTGCTTTGTGGTTGAGCGATTGTGAAGGCTTAATACTCTCCTTCCTCTCCTTTTAAGAATCTGAGAGATTTGGGAAAGCCCTGCATTTAACTCTGCATTAACCTCACTGCCATTCAACTCTTGGCTTTTGCAAAAATGTGAGACAGAACTGTCGTGGTGTTCTTACCTGTGTTAGGAAAGATAGCTCTGAGAAGCATAAGAAGGATCACCTTAAAGTCCATTTCCTTAAGTAACTAATGTTTTTAGAGTAAATATTCAACATTGTCTGTTCCTGTTGGTTCACTGTGCTTTCTCTTCCTTTAGCCCCCCAGGTTCGCCTAATAGTCTTGGCTACTTCCCTACAGCCGCTAATCTTAGCGGTGTCCCTCCACAGCCTGGCACGGTGGTCAGAATGCAGGGCCTGGCCTACAATACTGGAGTTAAGGAAATTCTTAACTTCTTCCAAGGTTATCAGGTCAGTAGCTTGAAGAAGAAAAATCCTCAGTGCCCTTATTATTTAAGTTTGCTTTGTCTAAAGAATGCAGCCAGGAAGGAAACAGCTTCTCTGAAACTCTCATGTATATATATGTGCTAATGGATTTACTTATGAAAGCAAATAGATCCAGAGTCAGTGTCTAGGAACTGAGTTCAAATTCATCCTCTTGACAAGATTAAGGCTTTTCTATGCCGTCTTAATTCTTTTCATTTAATCTATTGGTTTTTGTTTGTTTTGTTTTTTTAAAGACTTATTGCTACTTTGAGAAGCTCTTCAGGGAACAGAGCAGTACAGTGTTTTCATCAGGAATTGGATTGGTCAAGGAGGTATTTTGTGAGAAGTTGGGTGTCAAATCCTTGATTTATAGAGAAAGCACTTGGGCTGGGATGTAGCTCAGTGGTAGAGTACTTGTCTAACAAGCATAGGGCCTGGGTTCATTCCCCAGCACTTTCAAAAAAAAAAAAAAAAGCACTTAAACATGGAATTTAATGTTAAGTATTTAAAAGTGATCAGTCTGGTACCTAATCTGGGTGGGAGGGGATACTGCCTAGCCTACTAGAGAGCCTCAGTGGGTCCTTAGAATGAGTTCTGGGGTAATCTGTGAGTCTTTCATTGGATGATCTGCTACTAATTCTAGTGAGGCTGATATTTGCTCTTATCAAGCTTTTTCTAACACTTCCTGTGTCCATCAGCTATTCTCTGGCTTAAACTAAAGAATGAGGTGCTTTTTGGCAAGAGCTCTTAACAATGACAAAATCTGCTCATTTCCAACTCATCTGGGCAGATACCTTTCCTTTCTCAAATCACTTAATTACCTAAAACCTGAATTCCCTTTCCTGCATTGTCTAAAAATAAATAACTTGCACTAGCAAAAAATTGTCTTTTCTTCCTGGAGCCAAACTTAGTTGGATTCTTCTAAGTTGAAAAACTGTTATGCAGAATAGTTAAATCAAATAGCCCTGGAGCTTTTGCAGCACAGCACGGAAGGGCTATGTATGTGTTTGCAGAGGCTGTTTCATCCTTAGGATGGGTTTACAAGTTGGGATCTATGAGTCATAGAGAATTGTGATCTGAGCTAAAATGACTGATGATGCTATGTGCCTACCACAATTGTCTTAAGGGCTTTAACGTATTAGAAAATATTCTTTGCAAGTAAAGAAAATCCATGAATGATAACAAAAGACTGAATGAAAGTGGACAAAAGTTATCTTTTATTACTGCCTGGCTTAGCACATTCTTACCTAGAATAAAAGTAAGATTCTTACTCATTCTTATTCTACAAATAAGTTGTTTTTTTTTTTTTTTTTTTTTTTTAAGAGTTAAGTAGATACTTCACCCTTCCCTAAAAAATTATGATGCTTTAAGGAGGGTCTTGAAAGGGTAATAATGTTACTTTAAAACTATATCTGGTTCATTAGATTGAGAAACTTTTCCCAGAAATTCATTGACCAGATAGTTTTAAGCTCATAGAGGAAACATTTTATTTTCTTTTCTTTTGGCGGGGGGGGGGGGKACCAGGGATTGAATTCAGGGGTACTTGATCACTGAGTCACATCCCTAGCCCTATTTTGTATTTCATTAGAGACAGGGTCTCACTGAGTTGCCCAGTGTCACGCTAAATTGCTGAGGCTAGCTTTGAACTCATAATCATTCTGCCTCTGCCTCCTGAGCCTATGGGATTACAGGCATATGCCACCATACCTGGCCTTAATTTTTGTATTTTATTGGCCTATTATAGCAAATCCAAGGAGTTTTCAAGTTTAATGGTCAGCTGGATTAACTTCTTTTTAGTTTGTGTGGTATTTTATGTTCACCCTGAATGAAATTAAGCAGTCTTGCACATAAGTTAATAATGAGAATAAGCAGAATTGTTCTTCTGAAAAGAGTGTTGTGTCTGGCATTTGTGGTTATATATTTTACCACAAATATATAATAGGGATTATTTCTATATTTATGAAGAATACATGGTTCAAAAACGAGCTAAAATAACATCAGTCTGTAGCAGTTATTCTCTTTTATTGTGTGTGGTGCTAGGGATTAAACCCAGGGCCTTGGGCGTTCGAGGAAAGCACTCTACCAACTGAGCTATATGAGACAGGATCTCACTAAATTGCTTAAGGCATGGCTAAATTGCTAAGGCTGCCCTTGAACTTCAATTCTCCTGCCTTAGCTTGCCAAATTGCTGGGATTACAGGCAGGCACCATTGCACCTGTCCAAAGCTCATATTTTCTATTCTTTAAAAGTCTGTGTCTTCTGCCTTTTTATTTGTTGTTTCCTGTTCTCAGTTATTCAGGTTACAGCCAGTCTCTATAGATTCCAGATTTATTTGATTTGGCTTCGTCACAAGACAGTAAAATTAGCGGATAACTTCTTAAGAAGAAAACTGTTAAGTGTAATCTGTGTTTATCTTTACAGTACACTTATCACTGTTGTTGGTTTAATGGGAGGTTTTAATTTTATTTCTGGTTATGACTAAACTTACATAATTTTTCATGATAATTGTATTTATATACATTAGCAAATACCAAGGAAATAATTGAGCAAATGACATTCATTAATGGTCTCTGATTCTGTCATTTAAAAGAAGGTAGAATTTGATGTAATAACTGCATATATCATTTTATAAATACATTATCATTCAAGATAAATTTTTAAACGGCTTTTCCCCAAAATTTCTTCCATAATTCCAGCTTTGTGTTTTCCATAACTTCATTTGGGTTGGGAGCTAAAAAGCCAGAAAGAGGAAAGATTTACAAAAGGGAAGGAGTTCTGATGGTTAAAGCATGTATTAGAATGGGTTCTGCTATCATGTCTGCTTCCTTATAAAGTTAAGCCACCTGAGTTAGGTCTATTTTAATAAATGAGAACAAAATTTCTGAAGACAACATATAATGAAAGTATTTGTTAATGAGGGTGTCATTCTGATGAATATCGTCAGCTTATATGTGTTTTAGTGGGTGGACCTCTTGTTCTGAAAATGATTCTCAAGTATCTCTATATAATTCCTTTAACTTTTTTCCTTTGCTCTTAGCATTCCTTTTGCTATCAATGGCTTTGCATTTCAATCAGTGCTGGTTTTCATTTCTCCACAAAGTAATAACTTTAGTCAATGTCTCTGGATCACTCACTACTAAGATTTTTACTTGGTGCTCAACTAAGAGAGTAAGATTGATATTTTAATTATATTCAGTACTATTTTAAATTCATTGGGTTATTGGGAGATATTGAGTACTGGGCTTATTATAAAATGCCTTGCAAATTATTGGTGCTTTATTATATGATATCCAGTCATACTTGGAAGTATCATGGAAGTTACTGCTCACAAAATCTGAAGTTTTGGTCTCCAAACAAAACTTCCATGACACTTTGTTGGTAGATATATTTGGTTGAAATAATAACCATCCATAGTGACAGCATGTCCATCTTTTGATCTTTTTTGTTTTGACTTGCATTTTAGTATGCAACCGAGGATGGACTTGTACACACAAATGACCAGGCCAGGACTCTACCCAAAGAATGGGTTTGTATTTAAGGGTCCCAGCAGTTAGACCATCCTCAGAAAAGAAGGTAAGGCTTTATGACACACAAGGTAAATTATTATAAAGGACCAAAGAGAGAGGCCAAGTATCTGAAGGTGTTTTAGGAGTCAAAGGAGAGTTTTCTTCTTCTTCTTTTTCTTCTTTTTTTTTTTTTAATGGCATTATATAGGGAAAACCTTTTTTTTTTTTCATTATTTTTATTTTGTTTATTTTTATGTGGTGCTGAGGATCGAACCCATTGTCCCTCACAAGTGCGAGGCAAGCACTTTGCCACTGAGCCACAACCTCAGCCCTCTTTTTCTTTAATGTGATTTCTGAGTGTCAGAAAACTAAAAGTAATGAAGACAAGAATTAATTTTGTCATCTAAGAAGAAAGTAATTAAGCAATATTTACGGATGAGAGTTGCATATTGTTTGGAGGCAAGAGAAAACTTTTTAAAAGTATACAACTCAGCCAGGCACACCTGTGCTCCCAGCTTTTCAGGAGGTTGAGACAGAAGCATCCTCTGAGTCCAGGAGTTTGAGATCAGATTAGGCAACATAACGAGACCCTGTCTCTAAAACAAGACAGACAAAAGTGCTTATTTTCCAAAATGATTGAAAAGGTTTTCATTGTCTTTTTTTTTTTCTCTCTCTCTTCCAACTCTGCCTCCATGGAAGTGGGGCTAAGGCTATAGCTCAGTGGTATGCTTACCTAGTATGCACAAGGCCCTAGTTTCAATCCCCAACACTGCAAAAAGTAAATGAAAATACAGGGAAGGAATCCTGATTAAGGTTAAAATAATTTTTTGGAGGTTTTTTTTTTTTTTTTTGGTCCCTTAATTTACAACTTCTTCCTAAAGGATGCTAGAATTCTGTGCAGGATTCCCAAGGGATGGAGTTGTAGGGACATGTTGAGAAATCATTGTAGTTTATTTCTTCATATCTGATTGTTGGATTTGCTAAAGTTGGTGTACTGGCATGTCATTTACTAATTTTGTTGACATTTTCATAGCTAACACCTCATGGACTTGAATCATATGGATTCTGATTTGGAGATGGGTTTGCTAAAAATCTGTTGACCTTGAGAATTCACAGCTTAGAATCTCATCATGAGCTGTGGAAACATTAGTTTTAGGTGAAGATTTTCAGATCTGCCATTTTCAGTGAAGTTAGGGTGTTGTGGTCCTATCAAAGAATATCAATATATATAGAGATACTTTGCAGTGGGAAACCGGGTCTTTAGCCTGGGTCACAGTAGTGAGTTCATGTTATTCTAGTAGCTGTTATCCTTTTTAGTACCTACTTTGGAAAACTTTGCTCCTTTAAGTGTTCTCAAAAGACCCCAGGGTCATTTCATAAGCTATTGACAATGCCCAAAGGCCCTCCTGGGAAGGAGACTTGATATCTGGCTGGATGAAATACCTCCTCAGATGACTAGGGATGCTTTTTGTTTTGTTTTTCTCTCACTGTTCAGTTCCAGGTTTCTTATTCCTTAGGTCTCAAGGGCAGTGTCAGTCTCTAAATTTCAATCTGTCAACAGTGCTTAGCTATAGTTGCATTTTGTGTGTGTGTAGAAATGAGAATATTTTAGAAGTGACATATTTCTGCTTTGTAAAATGGGCAGAAAATTAGTGCTGTGAATGTGACTTAACATGATTTTCTGTGAGAATCAGGTAGATTAATTTAAAACAACGTTTACAAACTATTTATATACTTATTTTGCAATGCTGGAACTGAAGTTAGGGTCTTGTGCATATTAGGCAAGTAGTCTAGCCCCAAGGTACATCCCCAGCCCTAGGTTTTACAAACTATAAACTTCTATATTAAATCAAATACCTTTTGTTGCTGTGATGGCAATAACTTAGTCAAAAAGTTTAAAGTTTTGTGTGTGTGTGTGTTTACTATCATCTAAGTTGCAGGCATAATTCAGATTTCATCAGGTTTTTTCTAATGGTATCCTTTCTCCATTCCATGATCCAACCTGCATTCCCATTGCATTTAATTGTCCTGTCTCCTTAGTGTTCTCTGATCTGTGCTAGTTTCTCACTCTCCTCATTTTTTATGACCTTGCCAATTTTGAGGTGTTTCATGGATTGACTTTCAGTTTGAATTTGTTGTTTTTCTTGTGACAAAGCTGGGCTAATGGGAGTTGGGAAAGACGGTCCTAGAGGTGAATTGCCCTTCTCATCACATGGCACCCACAGGTGTGTTATACCACCTGACATCGCTGCTGCTGTCATCCTGGTCTCTTGGTTGAGATCTTGCTTCATAGCTTTCTGTACTACAAAGCTATTGTTTTTTCTTTCTCATGTTCTATTCACAAGAGTCACTGTCTGGCTCACATTGAAAGAGGAGAGAAGCGTTTACCTACAAATATTAGTAACTTTTATGTAAGGATGATTTGTTCCTTCTCCCGTGTTATTTATATAGTCATTTTTCTGTATCAGCATAGACTTGTTATAATATTTATGTGTTACTTTGGGTTATTATCCAGTACTACAATTTTTGTTTTTCAAATTGTTCTAGCTTTGGCCATTGGAACTCATTCAGGTTGGCTCATTTGCCCCTTTAAGATGTTTCCATACTTTAGGGATTTTTTAATTTTTTAATTTCTTTGAATATAACTGATGTAGGCTCCTGGTTCTTAATTTTCTCCCGTATCTTGGGTTTTAACCTACTTTGAGTACTGTCCCCCCCCTTTTTTTTTGAAAGAGAATTTTCTATTCCTTCCATATAATATATTCTGAAGAATTTAGATTGTATAGACCTTCTAAATGACAAGGGAAATTCCTATAGAGAAATTTTCTACAAAAATTATAGTATTTGGGCTGAGAATATAGCTCAGTTGGTAGAGTGCTTGCCTTGCATGCAAAAACCCCTTGATTTGATCCCCAGCTCCACAAAAATAAGTAAATAATTAAATAAAATAATAGTATTTACCTGTCTTTCAGGTAAGGTATTGGTTGCAATCTAAAAATATAAACATCCAGTTTCTACACTGAACTATGTTAAAGCTTTAGGTTGTAAGATCTTGTGCAGGATGCTTTATTAAAACAAAAACAAAACCTTTAACTAGAGTCTATTTGCCTTTTTTTTCACTCAGAAAAAAATAGTAAAACTGGTCCAAAATAGCAAAAACACATAGGAGCTCGGCGCCGTGGCAAACGCCTGTAATCCCAGCGACTTGGGAGGCTGAGACCAGAGGATCGAAAGTTCAAAGCCAGCCTCAGCAAAAACCAGGGTTAGGGATGTGGTCAGTGGTCATGTGCCCGAGTTCAAAATCCCCGGTACCCAAAAAATAATAACAAATAGGATATTTAAATACCTGATGAAACTTTAATGTGGAAAGTGGCTAGAGCATTGTCATTCAAAAGTATTTACAATTTAAGTGTTAAGTTTGGGTTACTTTTGTGGATGGAAAGTGATCTCTGGGTTTTGTAATATAATTTCCTTGGTTCAATATATTTTAGTTTCTAACTCCCCCTCCCCTAATTAATAATATTTAGATAAGAAATAAGTGGCTTTCAAAATTAAACAGGTTCTCTCTTCTAAGTAGTATTTATATTAGTTGGTGAAGAGCTAAATAAATGCCAAGTCTATTGATTTAAATGAGTAAAGAGATAAACTTTGATTAAACAATCTGGTTTATGACTAGGCACAGTGGCACACACCTATAATCCCAGCTTCTTGGGAGGAAGAGGCAGAAAGATAACAAGTTCAAGGCCAGCCTCAGTAACTTAGTGAAGACCCTATCAAAAATTTTAAAAAGTACGGGGTGGTGGGGTGGGTTGTGGCTCAGCAGTAGAGCACTCGTCTAGTTCTAGTTCATGCAAGGCCCTAGTTTCGATCCTCAGCACCACATAAAAATAAAATAAAGATATTGTGTTCAACTACTATTAACAAAATAAATTAAAAAAAAAGTGCAGGTTGGGGTACTAGGAATGTAACTCAGTGGCAGAATTCCCTTGCACTTCATTTCCAGTATCTTGAAAGAAAGAAAAAAAATTCTTGAGTTATAGGTTTTATTTTATATTTTACATATGAGGAAAAATACAATTTAACAAGGAAAACTCCCAAATGACTTACACTTTTCAGAAAAACGTGAAAATTAGTATAAGAATAAAATATTACAACTAGTCAGAATTGTAGAGTTTTTAGGGTTCATTCCAAAGGACATAGCTGCCATTGGTGGAACTCTGGTATCTTTCAAGACTCTTGTGTACATAATACTTTTAATGACAGTTTATTACAAAATAAAACATTGTTTTAACACACATCTTACTAGAAATGAAAGATTTGAGAATGTTTGCAGTTAAAACTCTCAAATTGTCTCTGTATCATTAATATTTGTTTTACTGTAGCCAAAGAGGGAGAACATTTTCTCTGTATTCTTCTGAGTTGTTTTTTTTTCCCCCTAACAATATAGTCTTGTAGTCTTATAGCTAGACACTCAAACGTCACTATATTCCACTGGATTAAAAAGCAGTTCTGAGGGCTGGGGATGTGGCTCAAGCGGTAGCGCCCTCGCCTGGCATGCGTGCGGCCCGGGTTCGATCCTCAGCACCACATACCAACAAAGATGTTGTGTCTGCCGAGAACTAAAAAATAAATATTAAGAATTCTCTCTCTCCTCTCTCACTCTCTTTAAAAAAAAAAAAAAAAAAAAGCAGTTCTGAGACCAGGCATGGTAGTGCACATCTGTAATCCCAGAGACTCAGAGGCTGAGATAGAAGGATTGTTGGTTCAAGGACAGCCTCAGGAACTTACAGATACCCTGTCTCAAAAAAATGAAAGGGACAGGGGGTGTAGCTCAATGAGAAAGCACTCCTGGGTTAATTCCCCCTGCCCCCCAAAGAAAAAAGCAGTTCTAAGTGGTTAGGGATGTGAGTGAGTGGTAGAGTTCTCAGCATGTTTGAGGTAAAGGGGTAGGGTGGACAGGGGAGAGCAGGGGGAAAATCTAAACTTCCTTTTAGCATCTTCAGGCTTTTTCCACATCATAACATAGTATGAGCGTGTAATTTTTGGCATCTACAAAGTGGTGTATAATAGAATGGGCTACGAATGAGGAAGGGGGAACTCATTGATTGACAACTGACAGGTCCAGGGCTCACTGAGTTGGCTGAATCTGAAGGCTTACTTTCAGTCAAGTTCTCTCCATGATGTACCCACAGCAATACTTGGTTTATACCCTTTCATTTTCAAGTCCAGAAGCAAACCAGGAATTGAAATTCACTGGTGTGACTCCAAGTCCATCTCTGAAACCACCATGGTTTGGTTATCTAGGGCTCTGAGTGGCTGTGTCTGGGTCACTCCTTTGGCACAGTGGTAAAATTGCCTCTTTATGGACTTGAGATTGGATGAGGCTAGTTCATTAAGCAAAATTAGGGTGGTGTTGCCAATAAAGGATATAATTGGGCAATAGCATTGGATAATTGATAAGTTTGCTTATCAGTATCCACCTTTCAATGCAGTGTTTCATGCCAAGGGCTAAATTGTTAGTCACTTTGTAAACCACATTTTAAACATGAATTCTAACAAACCAGTATTTAAGTAATTTTTAAATACCTGATTTTAAATGTGTACCAGTTATACAAATTGCTATTATGAAAGCAAATTTACTGCTGACCATATTTCCAACTGCTCATATGAAACAAGACTGAACTCTGAAGAGCTAGTTCCCTTTCTGTCTTCATCCCTATTTCTCATTTACATGCAAAAGTGTGCATAATGCTGAAAGTTTTCTTGCTAAGTTTTTGTCTGTGGTATATAATTAAAAGCATAGAGGAATCTATGCAGTGGTTCAAATCTCAGATATGCTTATATTACAGTTGTCGTTTGGTGTCTGAGGAGATTGGTTTCAGGATGCCACAATCAGAGATGCTCCAGACCCTATGTAAAGTGGTTTAGTATTTGCTTATAACCTACACACATCCATATGCTTTGAGTCATTTCTGGATTACTTATAAAACCCAATACAGGGCTGGGTCTATAGCTCAGTTGGTAGAGTGCTTCCCTTGCATGCACAAGGCCCTGGGTTTGATTCCCCAGTGCGTACGTGCATACACCCCCACCCCAATACAATATAAATGCTATGAAAKAAGTTGTTAGACACTATTTTTTTTAATTTTTTTTAAGTTGTCGTTAGACACAGTACCTTTATTTTATTTATTTTTATGTGATGCTGAGGATCAAACCCAGGGTCTTAAATAGCGGTAGGTAAGAGCTCTACTGCTGAGCCACAACCCCAGCCCTAGATTGTAATTTTTAGGGAATAATAAGAAAAGTTTGTGTCAGTATAAATTTTTTTTTTAATGCTGTGGTACCAAGGATTGAACCCAGGAAGTAGCTCCACTGAGCTATTTCCCCACTCCTTTATACTTTTTAAGACAGGATGGCTCTAAGTTGTCTATATTGGCTTTGAACTTGTCATCCTCCTGCCTCAGCCTACCAAATTGCTGAGATTACAGGCATGTGCCACTGCTCCTGGCTTTCCTGAATTTTGTTTTAAAGAAGTGTTTGGTTGAACGCACAGATCTGGGTCCCACAGGTGTAGTAGCTTAATCATTCTGTGCTTCATCTCTAAAATGGGGATAACATGATAATCTGAAGGGGAGTTATATATGGGGATGGAATAAAGGGATCCATATAAAGGTGCTAATCAATGAGCTGGCACATAAAGTTCATGTTTATCATTATTGTCATGTGTTGGTGATTCTTATTAATTGGAATGTTTTTCTTAGAAATTATTTGAAATTTCCTTTATTAGAATTTAATTCTAACAACATTGCCTTTTACTCATTTTTTTTCAGTGTTTGAAAGATGTATGGTGATCCTGAAACCATCAGACACAAGAAAACTTCTAGCAACTTCAGGGGAAGTTTATCTACACTCAGGCTGCAGTATTTTCAGCATACATGATTGGACAGTGGAGCTGTGCCTTATCTTTTGGTGGAGTGAAAAATTTGAGCCAGTGAAGCCAAATCTTTACAGCGAAGCAGCTCCTTGCTGAGTGCAAATAAGCATTTAAAATGTGAATTTGAAATCAAACGTCTCTTATTACTTTCAGCTAAAGTGGCAGGACAGGTGTTTCCTAAGTTTAAGTCTTGGATTAAAAAATATTCCACTGGTTATCTACCATCTCCACCATGAACCTGTTATGGAAGCTTCATTTCTGTATATCCCCCCTCCCTTTTTTTTTGCCATCTCCCTGTCCTCTGCACAATCATGCCTTCTTGGCTAAGTAATTCAAGCCCATGGCCTTGGACACGTAAATCACAAACTTAAGGAATAAAATAAAACTAATATTTTCCGAATTTCTTGGCCATCATGATGTCTTATAGTTAAAAACAATTCACATGATTTTTAAAACACCTGAGGCAAGCTGGGGGTTGTGGCTCAGTGGTAGAGAGCCCTTGCCTAGGATGCATAAGGCCCGGGTTCAATCCCCAGCACCACACAAAAAACAAACATCTGGGGAGAAAGGTAATACCCTCCACAACACATGTATAGTTGAAAGGTTTAGATCTTTTTCTCAGCAGGTACCAGTTGTAAATAAAAATGAAGTAGGGGCCAAAATGCGGAACCAAAAATGAAGCAGCTACATGTAGGTAGTAATTTCTAGATAAACCTGCAACTGAATATTGCGGCTTCTTATGTATTATTTTATATTGTACTTTTTCATTGTTGATGGTTTGGACTTTAATAAGAGAAACTCCATAGTTTTTAATATCACAAAGATGAGACTATTTGAACAGTGTATTCTAGAAAGCAATCTACTAACTGAAGTGAATGCTTGTACATATTAATATTGCCTTAAACCTTTTTCTCTACTGCCTTAACTATCAAAACAATTAAAACTTTTTAAAAGCATAGGACTGTAGTCAGCATGCTAGACTGAGAGGTAAACACTGATGCAGTTAGAACAGGTACTGATGTCGGTGTTTAGCACTATGTGTTTAGCTGTGTTTATGCTACAAAAGTGCAATATTAGACGCTAGCTAGTACTGCTGCCTCATGTAATTCCAAAGAGGAAAAAAGGATTTAATTAAGTGCACATATTTCTTTGTTACTCATATTGTCCTTTGCTTGGATGCAATGCCATGCAGATTTTTGTGGCTGCTATTTTTATTTACTTTGCCTTACTTAGATTAACACCTTGAATGGAGAGCCAAATATTACTCTTTACCTGACCAGCAATGGCCCTTTAACTGCAACAGGGGAGGGAGGAGAAAAAAATCCCAAAATATTTTTGTGTGAAAATTGGCACTTAAGATCAGATAAAAAAGTTATTTGTACTTGATGTCTTAATATGCTCTCTGCCCAAAGCTCTGAAAGACTAATGTAGTCAGAAATACTTATAACAATACTACTGAGTTTTTGTAGAATTGTTACATTTGATAATAAAACTTTCCTGCTTAATCTCAATGTTTGCATTCTTTTTTTTTTTTTTTTTTTTTGGTAATTAGAAGTTAGTGGTAATGGTAGAAGCATGTAGGTGAGCCTTCTTTTCCTGAGGTGGTAAGTTTTGTTTTTTTCCCCCTGTTTACCATAAATAATTATAAAAGCTAACAAAGATAAGTGCACTCAAGATAATGGCTAAACAATCATCCATCCTTACATAAGTCATTGAGGAGTTTTTGTTTTTAAACAAAAACTTAACCACTAAGCTCATCCCCAGCCTTTTATTTTGTATTTTGAGGCAGCAACATATTGTTGCTGAGGGCCTCACTAACTTGCTGGGCTGGCTTTGAACTTGTGATCCTCAGCCTCCTGTCTGTGGGGATTAGAGATGTGCACTGCCATATCCAGAAGTCATTGAGATTTTGATTTTTTGGGGGTGGGGGTGGTACCTGCGTATTGCCCCAAGCGTGCTCTACCACTGAACTACAGTATCCTCAGTTCTTTTTGAGACAGAGTCTAAAGTTTCTCAGGCTGGTCTCAAACTTGTAATCCTCGTGTCTCAGGCCTGAGTGGCTGGGGTTCCAGGCTTGTGCCACCACTTCCAGCAAATTTAATGTCATACTAGCAAAATTTTTTATCTAGTATGACTTTGTACATTTTAAAAGTTAAACCAGGCATGGTGGTACACACCTGTAATCCCAACTAGTTGGGAAGCTGAAACAGGAGGATTTGGATATCAAGGCCAGTTATACAACCTAGCAAGATCCTATTTCTCAAAGTTAATTCAGAGTCACTTTTTACACTGAACTATACAACCAAAAGGGTCAATTTGGTTTGGCTGCTTCTGCCATCTACTGGGCATACATACTGGCTTCTAAGGATCCCTTTACCAGAGTGCATCTCTGCAGGATTCTAAAAATCATAATTGTTTATTTTTTTTATTATTAAAGAGAGAGTGAGAGAGGAGAGAGAGAATTTTTTTAGTATTTATTTTTTAGTTGGCGGACACAACATCTTTGTTGGTATGTGGTGCTGAGGATTGAACCTGGGCCGCACACATGCCAGGCGAGCGCGCTACCGCTTGAGCCACATCCCCAGCCCTGAGATGTTTAATGATAGTTTACTTGTCATATGTAAATTGTTAAGGTGATAAATCATAATTTTGATGGAAAACATTTTCCCCAAGTCTTTGTACTCTTAGTTTTAAGTAAGTCTGACTGGGCCATGCAATTCTGTAATCCTAGCAGCTTGGGAGGCTGAGGCAGGAGAACCACAAATTTGAGGTCAGCCTCAGCAACTTAGATCCTGTCTGAAAATACAAAATAAGAAAGACTGGAGATGTAGCTCAGTGGTAAAGTGTGCCCAAGTTTCAATCTCCTGTGTCCCCTCCCCCCAAAAAAGTGTAATAGATGCTCAGCACTTTTAGGTCTGAACATGGTGATGAATGATCCATCCTGGCTGAGGTACTCAAGAGTCAATCTGTTATCCAACTACCTTCCTTCTTTCAAAATAATTTAATCTATGATTTACCTGTGTCCAGAAGTTATGAGAGCAAAGCTAGGTGTATTCTAGCGGGACCGTCTCAATCCATATAAATAGGTTGTCCGAATTAGCAAAAATAGAGAAAACAAAAAGACCCAAGATATTAAATGAGAATTTCAGAAAAAAAATTTTTCAAATAAATATATTCCAAATATTACCAGGGACACACACTAATTTGTCCTAAATTTTATCTGGAAGTGCTAATATAACCCCATAAATGTTTAGAAAATTTACTATCTGAAAAAAGGGTCTTGGTACAAAATCAACAATCTATTTAAGAAAAAGAAGATTTGCCCGGCACAGTGGCGCACACCTATAATCCCAGCAACTCAGGAGGCTGGGACAGGAAGATTGTGAGTTCAAAGCCAGCCTCAGCCACTTGGTGAGGCACTTTGCAACTCAGTGAGACCCTGTCTCTAAATAAAATACACACACACACACACACACACAAAAAAAAAAACAAACGGCAGGGAATGTGTGGTTCAGTGGTTAAATGCCCCTGAGTTCAATCCCCAGGACCAAAAAAAAAAAAAAAAAAAAATTCACTTGGGGAGGTTTTAATAGACTATTTGATACCAGTAAAATGCTTTATTTATGAATATTGTTTTGTATAATTAACTTGGCTAAAAATATCTTCCTAGAGGAGCCAACTCTAGGAAAAAGTATATTTAGAAAATATGCATATATACAGATTTGTTTTGTTTTGGGTGCTAGGGTTCTAACCCAGGGCCTCCCACATTAGACAAGCTACATCTCCAGCCCTTTATAACTTTTACTTTGAGACAGGCTCTCACTAAATTGCCCAGACTGTTCAAACTTTCGATATTCTTGCCTCAGCCTCCCAAGTAGCTGGGATTGCAAGCATGTGGCACCATGCCCAACTCTATTTTAGAAAATATTCTACAATATCTAATACATACAATTAAAAATATTTAAATAAAATACTTTAGAAAAAAAATGCATCCCACTTTGGAGAAGTATATGGTCCCGAGTTTGTTGATTTGTACAGTTGTAATTCTCTCAATGGAAAAGAAAAATATGCAGATCCTAATGATGAATGGTAATACGGCAAATATATTCAGGATGCACTGAAATACAGCCTCAACAATAAGGAAAAAGTGAAGAAATACTTGTCTACAATATATTTGCAGAGTTTGGACTAAAGATAGGGATAAAACACAGCCAAAATACAACTTAGAATATAATGGCAGTAGCTGGGCGCAGTTGCACATGGCCTGTAATCCCAGTGGCTGGGGAGGCTGAGACAGGAGGATTGCGAGGCTGCTAAGCCACTCGATGAGACCCTGTCTCTAAAATATAAAATAGGGCAGGGGATGTGGCTCAGTGGTCAAGTGTCCCTAAGTTCACTCCCCCATGCCCCCCTAAAAGAATATAATGGCAGTAAAAATGAACTGATTACATCTAATTCAGAGTACACAAAGGAGATCATGTTTGAGAATAATAGAAAGATGCTACTCAATGGATAACTAAGATTCTATTATATAGTAAAGATGAAACAAAATTTCATGTTTAATAGATGAAAAGTTGAACTGATTCAAGGATTTCAACAGTGATTATGGTAGGTTGCTATTAATAAAATGAAGAGCTTTTTTTTTTTTTTTGTACTGGGGATTGAATCCAGGGCACTTTACCACTGAGCTACATCTCTAACCCTTTTAAATTTTTATTTTGAGACAGGGTCTCACTAAGTTGCTGAGGCTGTCCTCAAACTTGCAATTTTCCTGCATTAGCCTCCTAAGGTTGGATTACAGGTATGTACCACTGCATCCAGCCAGAAGAAAGTTTTTAAAATGTCTTTTGCATATATCTCTTTGGTTTCAAAAAGATAAGTTCTCTGGGGAATTGTTTTGTATTTTTCTCATATCTTGACAAAATGTTGTGCTTGATGCACGGAAAGTATATGATTATGGATTGCAAATGTAGTTAAGTGGTAGAACATTTGCCTAACATGTTTGAAATCCTGGGTTTGTTCCCCAGTACCACTCACATACACAAAAGTACATGATTAATTTCAAAATATAAACCTTATGAATCATCTTCTATTCATCATTTAATACGTCCAGTTTGTATCAGGTCCTATACATTTTCAGCATCTTTCAAAAATATTCTCATTGAACACTTTTATTTTCTTTCTAGGCCTTTGTTTTTCTTACCCAGTTTGGTACTCCTACATTTCCTAAAAGCTGTGTTGTGTTTGCGTTTGTCACTAAGTATCAAACCCAGGGTTTCATGCATGCTATGCAAACACTCTACTACTGACTGAGCTGCATCTTAAGCTCAAGACTTTAATTTCTTAAAACCAATAATATTTCACTAAAAATATCCAACTACATATAGAAGGGCACCT